TAATATATATATATTAATGTCACTGGAGTGAGATTCTCCTTTAGTTGTATAGATCTGAGATATTGACGAATGAGCTCTATTGTTATCGAGAAAAAATCATGTGTTGTGAGGTGTGTCATCAAGCGCTCGTCCATTTTGGGACGTTGGAATTATTGGTATCATCTTAATGATAACATGCTTCTTGTTCATTTGTCTTGCTTTTTTATGAAAAAAATACCATCTGTCGTGAATAGAAATCGTGATGTGCGGCGATTGTAGGAGTTGGGTGTCACCTTGTGAGAGTGGTAAATTTAGCAAGATAACAATAATGGCCATCACAGTTTGGTGACTTCCAAAGCCTATTCAGGTGTCCTTCGAAACTGTAAATTTACTAATTTACTTTTTTTTAGTGCTTTTGATCAACTTTTTTTTGCAGGAAAAAAAGTACATAGCAAAGTGTTTTTCAGTGGACATACACACAGAGTCAGAGTTGCACAAGAAAAAGAATTCCTATAAAAAGGGTCCAGCAGGCAGAGAAATGCTGATTTTTTCAATTTCGCTATTTTGACAAACGCCTGATTTCTCCATGATGCAGCTCATGATAAAAAAGTCACTGTTAAATGGTGTTGTCAACTTAAAGATTACGTACTACAATGTGCCATAATATGGTATTGTGGTAAATTTAAAATTTCACTCCTGCCTGCCGATGACATAGTTTTGGGGGCAGAATCACTATATTTCTGGTTGCAGAACACATGGCTTCTAAAATCGCCAAAAATCAATTATTTCAAGGCAACTTCAAGAGTCAAATCTAGTCCTAATATTTTACTCTATCTATGCTGTCTTGTATTTGTATGCTCAGGTATTCATAGCCTTACCATAGTAGCACTTAAACTTCATACATTTTAAACCGTTTTACATAAATTTCGACTTAATGTCGTATTGCAAATGATTGATTACTTTTTGGGATAGTTGTGGTTTTAATCGAACTGCCTTTTCAATATGTTTGATATTACACGAGAAATGTAGAATATGTGGGTTGCTATTATAGTTATGGCCTTCTGCAGTTCTTGCTGTGGGATTACTTTGTTACAATATAATGAAACCTTTGTGAAAATAGAATTTGAAAGAGTTTTTTTCTTTTAACAGTAACACAGTGTCTTCGAGACAAGTTTGTTTGTGACCAAGTGAATGATGAAGTTATTGTCGCAAGTTTTTAGAAATGCATTTCAATTTACTGTTGTAGTTGACGTTGTTCAGGTGGGTCCGGTTCAGGTTGTAAAGTGTACACAAGCACGATGATCACTTTCTTTAAAAGTTATTTTTGAAATTGTTTATACACTACAGCACTTACTATTTATACTAACATTCCTTTTGCATTGACTTTTTTCAGGCTCCAGAACCTGTGAGTGGTCCATCCATCCTGCTGAAGTCTCCCCCAAGAGGCAAGGATGAAGCTTATGAAGAAAAACTGGTTAGTTTTTTATTTTACAAAAAAAATTATGGAACACTGTCAGAGTGACCGTGGCTACAAAGGTTTCACAGAGGCCATTTATATTCAAATCTGCTGCAAAGTGTTATAGAAACCTGTCAGGATATCCACCCCCCCCCGATAATAAATTCCTCTTATAAAAGGGAGACCTACACAACCCAGAAACTAAACTAACTGAGACATTTCTCCCCTTAGGATCTAGGGTTTTGACCTGTGGAATATAGAAAATTATGCTTTGCCCTTATATTATGTTTATTTAAAACTACCTTTACACCGCACCGCATAGTACTTCATTTGTAATCTTTTGCTTCTCTGAAGATTTTGGTGCTTGAGTTGATATGATGAGGTGGCAAGTACGGAACTTTTCAGAGTGTACAGCTTTCTGTAAAAATTCGTAAGATTGGAAGCAAAATTCATGAATGTAAGAGTTGCCTCAATTTATGAATAAAAAGTTGCGTGCTGTGTGAAAACATTTACTTGGAACTACATTTCTTTCCTTTCTCTGTAGTAATTTTCTGTTTTGTCCCCCTATTTTATCTCTACAGGAAAAAGATCGCAGCAATCGATTCGGCTTCCTGCTCCAGCAGACCGAGTTGTTTGCCCATTTCATGCAGACGGGGGCGCAAGCCGGGGGTGGCGGGCCCACCAGTCCTCTCAAGATGAAGGGTCGTCCTCGGCTTCACAAGCATCAGGATGAAAAATCCAAGCTGGTGGCTGCCGGAGAGTAAGTCTATTCAATGAAGTTTGGTCATATTGTGTATCATAGATTAAAGAAAAAAATTCTGATTGTGTTCAATAGCTGTATGATTTCATCATGGGGGGTACTTGATGCGTTTTTTCTTTGATATTGTCTGGTTGATGTTTTGGTTAAATTTCTTTTCAGTCGAATTGCTTTTTTTTTTTCAGCTTGAGATGTCAGAAATTAAGATTTTATATATATATAAAAGCTGTAGTCTAAATTTTAACATTTTTGCACAGCATCATTCTGCATCTGAATTTTTTGCACATTTGTCATTAAATATTAATTTTTTTCTCAGTCATCGGCATCGGAGAACTGAAGAGGAGGAAGATGAGGAACTGCTGTCCGAGGCGAAGAAATCTGGCAATGTCTTGTTACGCTTTGAGGCCAGTCCATCATGTGAGTATTTTCTTTTGGAAGTGTAAATAACAGGAATTGTGCTTTTGTAAAAGCATACCTTCGTTATTTTTGTTCTTCTTGAAATATTTATTGATGTTCTCAGAAGAAGTGAAATGCTTTGCTTTTTCTTTTCTATGCTCTATCTACATCACTTACAATTAATAGTTTGCTTTTTTGTTTGTTTGTTTGTTTGTTTGTTTGTTTGTTTTTTGGTTCCTGCAAAGGATTGTAAGATAAACATGTATTCGGAAATCAATGTCTTTGTTAACCGTGGAAAGAAGTTTGTTTGATGTAGATGTTTTATGACCTGAAAAATTTTGTCACTACCACATGTGTGCAATAAGAATCAAGAAATGCATTCTTTCTAGGAGTTGCCATTCTGGTTGGAATATATGGATATGTATTTTCTCGATTTGCACAGATATCAAGACCGGGGACATGAGAGACTATCAAGTCCGAGGGTTGAACTGGATGATCTCCTTGTATGAGAATGGTATCAATGGAATCCTGGCTGACGAAATGGCAAGTTTACATGGCCTATTGTGCTGACTTATTATTATTTCACTTCTGCATATGCGCATCGTGAACTTGTTCATGAAGGGCGTGAATGATATTGAATGGATTGATGGATTGTCTGGAAAGTTGGGATTTCTTGTCTGTTATGGTTATGTGCACATGGACACACACACACACACACGCACGCACGCACGCACGCACACACACACACACACACACACACACTTTTTTTTTGGAAGGGGGGCGGGGGTGTTTTGTCTCCCTCGTAAATGAAATAGTTTAATGAAAAATAGTGGGGTTGGCTCTGGGGGTATTTAAGGTGGCTAATGAATGCCTTTAAACCGTAATTACAATTCTATAACTTGTGGAGATTTAAAGGAACATATTCCTGTAGAGTTGCTTAACTTTGTTTTTTTTAATGGATATTCTACAGGGACTTGGAAAGACTTTGCAGACTATCTCACTTCTGGGCTACATGAAACACTACCGGAACATTCCATCCCCTCATCTGGTCATCTGCCCGAAGTCGACACTGGCCAACTGGGAGGCAGAGTTCAACCGTTGGTGTCCCTCCATCCGCGCTGTCTGCCTCATCGGGGACCAAGAGAAAAGAGTGAGTCTGATCAGGATTTAGTTTGAAAGTTTTGTGTGTGCTCTCGCTTAAAGGTATGTGAGGCATTCTGACAAAATGAGTAACTTCTCGCAATACACAAATGGAGATATTGGCCAAAAATCGACACTAGGGTCAGATAAGTAGATTTCTATTTATGCCATATTCTTTACGTATAATATGCCTTTTATTTCATACTTATAAATTGTGAAAACGTCACCTAATAAGCGTGATGTATCTCTTTCCACATGGCTTGAATCCGTGAAGCAACTCATTTTGTCAGCACGCTTCACATATTTGCTTTTGCGATGAAATAGTGATGGGGACTGATGACCTTGTAAAAGCACTGTAGGACTGTAGTATACAGCTGTGCTTTTTCTTTTGTGCATGCCCTCCTTGTATGACAAGGTCATGAATAAAATTCTGAAAGACCCTACTCCTGACAAAATTATTTTGGTCACTATTATAGACATTAGGATTTGTCAATGTTTTTAATAATGGCAGTGTGGGCATAAATGTACTGAGAGTTCACATGTTAAAGGATTCGCTTTTGTTGCTGTCAGTTTTATTTGTTACCTTTGGTCATGATATTTTCTCTTTGGGAGCTGAACCTGTGTTTAAATTTTGTTTTTCTTTTCAGGCGGCTTTCATCCGAGACATTCTGGTGCCCGGGGAGTGGGACGTGTGCATCACCTCGTACGAGATGGTCATCAGGGAAAAGTCGGTCATGAAGAAGTTCAACTGGCGCTACATCTGCATCGACGAGGCTCACAGGATCAAAAATGAGAAGTCAAAGGTGAGAGATACTGTTGTAGTGGTCAGAATGTAACATGTTGTTGCAGTTGTTATTAGTCCAGCTGCTGAATTGTTTGTGATTTTCAAGTGAGTGGGGTTTTGTTGAAGGTGGAATTCTTAAATTTGTTTCCCTTTCTTTGGTCTTGAAGAGTTGTGCTGAGTGAGGCAATGATACTGTTTAGCAATGCCAATCGGGCTTTCCCGCGAGGCGAAAATTTGGTCCCCATTTACGGGCGATTTTGCGGACCCGGCCGAAGCGTAGGTGACTAACTTTGTCAACCTCGGTCTGCTCTATTTCCGAACCAATCCAAATGAAACTCGGCAACCAATCAGAAAATAGGGCAAACTAATGATATGTGGACGTTGAAGTTCATACACATAAATTAACCTATACTTTTGGTGTCGGGAACACTTTCGTATCGTGTACACCGAAAATTATAAGGAGTTTGAATTTCAACGCCGAGATGGTAATAGATCTATCTATCCTCTATAGTGTGCTCAAATTTGAACGTTCTGTGTCAAGTAGTTCTTTAGACCCGATCATAAATGCACGACTACCCCCCTATCCAAAGCGGCTTCGCACGGAGACCTGCCATTTTCCCCTCACTCTCGTGGCAAATGTATGTGACCTACAAATCCCCGCATGACTATTCCGGGCCCGTTCATTGGTCACTTGAAATAGGGCAATGGCGGGCGCGCGCATCCGGTTGTTTTTCTCTCTATTCCCCTGTAACATCGCAATGGGGGTATTCCGAGGCGAGGTTATCTCGTCTCGGGGTGTTCGCATCTCAACGGGGAAAAAGAATTTTTAATTGTACGGCATGCTAGATTGAATTAACTTATCTTTTATGGTTGGCATGGTCTAAAGTCATCATAAAAAGCTTTGCAATTATTTAGTCACGCTGCCGACATTTATTCTTAAAGATCCCATGTTATGATACGATGCTATAAATAAAATGGACTCATCCCGACACCCCTTTTTCGCTAAATCGTAATATGTACACCACAATTTTAATTATAACAAAATAACTACGAAATTGGTTGTAAATCTGACTGCAGAAATGATTTCTACACTCAAAAAAACATCGGGTAGCCAATTTTTTCTTGAACACTCCGATTAGTTACCGAGATATCGTCAATTTTCTTACAGAATCTGCTACTGCGTGGTCCACTTTTTAGGAGTATTTTCCTATATGTGGGTCATCCATATTTTGCCGACCTTTACAACCCCATAACTTTGTTATTTATGAACCGATTCTCAAAATTCAAGAAGCATACTTCTTAGAAAATTCTTTCTTAGGTACCAAAAAAAGGGGGCAAAAGTGAAAATTTAAATTTTCATTGGCATTGCTATACTGTTTAATTCAATTCATGCATTTAAACAGGGATAAACATATATGGAATTTTTGTTGTCCTAGACTAGAATTTTAAAAATAATCTAAATGTAAAGTGGATAAATCCAGCTTCAATGTCATTTGTGGTCTGTTTTATGGATGTGTGTTGGTAGATGAGTGGGATCTGTGTTTGTGATATCCGACTTTGTTCTGTGGTATGCTTGAAATAAATTGTTGATAAAAGTAAGATGTAAGGAGGAATTTTTTCTTCTTCAGTGGCACATTTTTGCTCCATCTGAGACCAGTCTATCAGGGCACTTCTTCAAATGACATTTGTTTCTCTCTTGTTGGATGCCAGTTCTGTCTCCATGAACTTATATTTTTTAAAAAAAATCAGTTTAAATGGGAGGTGGCTTGATTGAATCTCTAATGCTAAATGCTTAGAAAATTCTTTGTCATTTTCACTGGACCAAAACAAATTACAGTAGGACTTTAAATTATTGAGGTATTGTCTTGCAGGAGAATATGGACTGGTTTTGAATTTCTAATTTGTCTTGCCTGGAGCTTTTGGGTTTGAAATTAAAAAGGTTATGCTTGAAATGTTTGCCCCCAGTTGTCAGAGATTGTGCGAGAGTTCAAGTCTACCAACCGGATGCTTCTGACGGGAACACCTCTACAGAATAATCTTCACGAGCTGTGGGCCTTGCTTAACTTCCTGTTGCCAGACGTTTTCAACAACTCTGAGGTGTGAAATGAACCTGTTTCTGTGTTGGTGTTGGTTTTGTTTTGAGTTGTTTTAAAAAAAAAAAGAACTATTTCAATGTTTTAATTAATTGTACATTTTAATGGTTTTTAGAAAATTGTGGGGAGGTGGTTGTTTTTGTTTTCTTTTACTGCTTTGTGCTTTGCTTGATGAAGTTTGTTTTCTATAAAATCACTTTAAAACAAAACAAAAAACTTTTCTGTCTGTTATAAATAAATTATGAGCTATCTTCCAAGAAAATTTGTAACATTCACTCGTAATAGTGAGGACTGCTGCAGTTCATGCCAAGACCTAAAAGCTGGTCAAAATAGAGAAATGCTATGTATGTCAAGGAGTACACACATTGGCTGTATGTGTCAAAGAGTGTTTATGGAATTTACTTATAACCTTCTCGTGTGTGAGAGGTAGGACCGAGACTTTTACTGCCCTACTACATTTGCCTTTAATGTGTTGTGTTGATCTCCTCAGGACTTCGATGCCTGGTTCAACACCAATGACTGCTTCGGCGACTCGGAGCTGGTAGAGAGACTGCACGCTGTAAGTACTGTGTTTGCATCTTTGTATTTCTGCTTGTCTATTTGTGACTACATATATTATGTTTGAAGCTGTATTCTACCTTTGCTATGGTAATATATTCTGTTATAATTTCCTTTGAAGTTTTGCTTTGGGCTATTTTTCCTGACGGGTTTACTTTTTGTAAAGTGTACTTTTTACATGTGTTCAAAAGCTGCATACACCAGTGCAGCAGTTGGGGGTTGGCAGGTGCTCTGGTGTGGTTCGCTCCTTCATTTTAACAGAACATTTGTGGTCGTTATCTCTTTTTTAAAATTGTAGGTTACTCTCTATCAACATTTCTAATCTTTCACAGTTATAAAGCCTATTAAACTAGCGCAGAATGCCACTTTTTCTCGTAAATGCCGTTTTCTAATCTCATTATTTGTACAGACTGGATATTTTTGCGGTTTCGGGTGTTGGTTTATTCTATATTCTGCCACGGTCTTCACCTCCTTGTCAAAGTTAGCATTAATTGGATCTTGTATTTGGATGTGGACTTTGTGTGTGCAGTGTTTACTATGGAATAACTTGTTTTGTTTCTTTTTTGTCAGGTGCTCCGACCATTCTTGTTGAGGAGAATCAAGTCAGATGTGGAGAAAAAACTGCTGCCAAAGAAAGAGACCAAAGTCTTCATTGGACTGAGCAAAATGCAGAGAGAATTGTGAGTGAAGTGAACCTGGTTGCGTTGCTCGTTTTGTGTAGCTGATGGTTGTGTTCTGTGCTGGCTTTGTGAAAAATGTTTGTGGTTGATAGTTTGATTTGGTCTTTTAAAAAATTCTAGTTTTGTGTTCCAGACAATGTGTACAACAGTCTTTTTTCAACATGTCTGTCTGTCTTGTTTAAAAAGTTGCTAAAGCACATAAGATTCATAAATCAGTGTTTCGTTTTCTTTAGCACCCTTTTCCCCTGCTTTCTCTGTTCTAAAAGATTCTTTGTGATGACAAAATTTATCCATCAAAAGTCAACTACAGTGATGTGGATACAAAGGAAAAACAATTTTAGATAACTGTGTATCTTATGGTGAAAATATTTTTTTAAGGTACGAAAATCTTGTTTTTCAAGAAGACTGAAATGACCATTTGCTGCATTTGAAATACAAGGGGCTTTGTTTTTTTAATTACTCTTTGAAAAGCTGCAGCCTATTTAAAATATATATCTTTAAAAAACCCCAACAATACCGTATTTCTTGTGTTTCTGTATACAGGTACACAAAGATCCTGATGAAGGACATTGACATCGTGAACGGCGCCGGCCGCACTGACAAGATGCGATTGCTCAACATCCTCATGCAGCTGCGCAAGTGCTGTAACCACCCGTACCTCTTTGACGGCATGGAACCAGGTGAGTGAGAGGCTGAGCATGAGCTTATTGTTTTTTAAACGTTGTGTTGCTTTATTTTTTTTAGGAAAAGCTGTCTTGTTGACAGTCTTAAGTACCTTCCCTCTTGCAATAGGTTCTCAAGAAAGTTTTGTACTTACTAGTGGGGTAAAGATTTGTTTTACATGTTCCATTTTTTGCACCATGCAAATGTGCTTTTATCAGGGTGGCTGCCATGTGCCAGAGATTTATTTGATTGGAATAAAATTACTGAGACTTGTGACTGCCTTGGGAATTTACAGGAAAAAAACTTTGGAGAAAATATGTTATAGAGCTAAATTCTCCAATATTTGAAAACCAAATCTAACTAGGTCAGTAAGGTCACTTCTTACAGGGTGAGGTTTATAGTGTTTGTTCGAATTTCCCCGTTTCTGAAATTGTCCAGATTTTTGTTTTTTGACTAGTGCATGTCATATATGGAATTTTGTATAAAAATTGTCTCAATACAAGATATATGAGACCCAGTGATTAGTGAGCACATTTCCACGCAGTCTGAAAGTCCAGGATTTTTTTATTTTCATAGCCTGTTGACACCTGCTTTCTGTATCTTGCAGTTGGTTCAAGGTGAAATGGTGCTGAAATGGCACTGACTTATCATTTACATTTTACAACAGCATAACAAAAGCATAATGTTTTAATAAGCAAAGCATGGTTATCAGTGTGTGTGTGTGTTTCTGCTCAGGTCCTCCGTACACAACTGACTACCACTTGGTAGAGAACTGTGGCAAGATGGTGATCCTGGACAAGCTGCTGCCCAGGCTCAAGGAACAAGGTGAGTGCAGACAATGAAAAGTCTTCTTTGGTTGTAAGGGCTTCATCATGTAGAGAAGGGGCTGTGGGGAGAGAGAGCGGGGAGAAAGCAAATGATAAAAGCAGGGAGAAGGCAAAATGACACGTCTAGCTCATAGATTTACATCTGTTTTCTCTCAGCATTGATCTTTCAGAATAGTCTATTTGTCCTGTAGATGCATCTATAGATTAAGAATATAAGGCAGAATTGTTAATTTCTGGAAAATTTAAGTATTCTGTGTGGGTGGTTGGCGGGTGCTCTGATGTGGTTTGCTACTTGTTTCCTATCAAACCTCTATCATACTGATCTCCCCTCCTTTTTTGTGTTTGTTACTCTCTTGTAACACTTCTAATCTTCGGCACTTATAAGACCTTATTGTGTTGCAAGTGCCGTAAAACTCTTACTAAAACTAAGTATTCTGTCAGGTACTTTGGAACTGTTAACTTTTTAAAAGACAATAGCACATATTTTTTATGATCAGGTCTTTTTAAAATTATAATTATTATTAGTTTTTTTGACAAATATTTTTTCATGTGTGTGCAGGCTCTCGAGTGCTCATCTTCAGCCAGATGACACGTATGTTGGATATCCTGGAGGATTACTGCTTCTGGCGCAACTATAACTATTGCCGCCTGGATGGACAGACACCGCACGAAGAGAGACAGGTGAGGACATGCGAGAGGGAGGGGGAGGGGGGATGGTCTTACGCGCAACTGGTCTTTGGCTGTTTGCAGAGTTTTTGCATTCATAGATATTTAAGTGGGTGGTAGGCTGGTGCTTTGGTGTGGTTTGCTTCTTGTTTCCTATCAAACATCTATTGTCCTTATCTCCCCTTCTTCTTTTTTATGCTTGTTACTCTCTTGTAACACCTCTAATCTACTGGCGCTCATGTGACCTTATGCAGTTGCGACGCCGTAAAACCTCTACTAAAACAAAGAGATATTTAAGGAGTTTTTAAGTGTATAATTTTTTATTATTCGTATTATTTTAAACAAATATGCGTACAGAGGTATCTAGGCTATGACCGGCATCTGATGTAGTGATTATGCTCTTTGACTTTGCTTGTTAACTCAATCCCACCTTAGGCCCTGTTCTGAAAATAACCCCCCTCCTCCAACAAGAACTAAGGTAGTTTATAGATATTAGTATGGATTAATTCAAATAGTGTTTCTATCTAGGTTTATCCCTGTTTTCTCAGCTGGTTGGTCAAGAATGGTTAGTTCAAGTTTTTGTAACTTTCTCTCTAGTAGCCCATGAGCAAGTCTAAAAATGTTTGTGGAAAGCGAAGATCCTGCCAAACTGAAAGCCATGCTGATGTTTGTCGAGTGCTTATTTCCTTTAAAGTGAGTTATGGGATAATTTTCACCATGGCTAGTCGCTAGGGTGAAGGTATTGGTGGAAGGGTTCATACAACGGTTGACTTTGGTCGATCTTGGTGGGAATGGGTTAAGTTTAAAGATGCAAGTCGAGTTTTGTAGTAGAGAAGTCTTGTTTTATAGAGTGTCAGCATATTTCTTTTTGGATGCTGTTTTCTTCTCAACTTGGGTAGGCCTATATGGGCAGGGTTAAAACGGTTTAATCTGAATTTGAATTGTGTAGCTAAGGCCCTAATTTTTTAGCATTCTAAAATCAGGAATTTGTTATTTTTTAAAATCTTTCAAAATAATGAGGAATTAATATTTTTTGTTTTTTTTAAAAATTCCATAAATAAGTTAAAAGTTGTTTTTCCCTATTGAAATATTTCTTCATGTCTGTAACGTCTGTGCCATGTTCTTTCCCAACAGAAATCTATCATTGACTTCAACCACCCAGAGAGCACCAAGTTTGTCTTCATGCTGAGCACACGCGCCGGCGGTTTGGGCATCAACCTGGCTACAGCCGACATTGTGCTGCTCTTTGACTCGGACTGGAACCCACAGGTTGATCTGCAGGCTATGGTGAGCTGTCACGCTGATGCTGCTAGTTCTCTGATTGTTTTGTTTTTTAAAGATGCTTTTAGGTTTGAGGGGGGGGGTGGTGGATTTCCTAATATACCATGAAGTCATTAAGGTGCTTTCAGCTATTCCATAAGTGGGTGGTGAGGAACAGCTTCTCTGTGTAGGGTGGGGGTGTGTTGGTTGTTTTTTTTTTTAGTCTTATGTCTTGCGCCCCTCTCTATCCCTAATTGATTTAATTTTATCTACCTTTTTTGGGGGTTGTTTTTTTTGTTGTTGCCATTGTTGGTATTTGTCAATGCACTTTTGTCAATTCACTTTCATGCACAAGATATGTACTAAAGGATTTTATGATTAAAATAGTGGATAAAGTCTTCATTTTTGTTTCCCCTCTGACTGTGTGTGCTATAGGACCGAGCACATCGAATTGGCCAGCAGAAGCAAGTGCGTGTGTTCCGGTTCATCACGGAGAACACAGTGGAAGAGCGCATTGTGGAGCGCGCTGAGATGAAACTGAGGCTGGACAATGTGGTCATTCAGCAAGGTGGGTGCTGCGTGGTTATGTCTGGGATGTACAGTCGTATCTGCTCTAACAGCCTCCTGTCCAAGACAATCAACTCATACAAATGGTCATTTTTCCAATTTCCCCAACTGCAACTTTTTTATATTATAATGACACTTTCCAAGACTTCCACCTAGGACGACTTTTCTCCTCAATAATGAATGGCCATCTGCTACATTTTCGACTGTACTTTAGAAGTATTTGCCATCTCGTTTAAGACTTTAGATGGAGATATTCATGTGATAAGAATTGATGAATGTCAGTACCACAGAGAGCAGCCTATCTACAGAATGTTCTGTTCAGCGTACAACAGCTGCGGGTACAGGTCAAAAGTGAATTCAGTTGTAGAAGCCAGCTGTCTATCAAGGATTGCAAATTTAAATTACCCATGGGCCTTTAGAGTAGAGCCTAGGTGAGCCTGGGCAGCATCAAGTATTCCACGAACAAAGGGAGAAAAAGGTTCAAATCTAAAACAGTATAACTGAAATCACATTTATAAGTAGGTGTCCCAAAATGTCGTTCTGAAGGCCTCAATTAGCCTGCAGTCCTCGGACTTTAGATCCGTACTGTTAAACAATAGCTTGACATTGTTCTTTCTCTTCACAGGTCGTCTGGTGGACCAGAACATCAACAAACTGGGCAAGGACGAGGTGCTGAACATGATCCGGCACGGCGCCAGCCATGTCTTTGCCTCCAAGGACTCAGAGATCACAGAGGAGGACATTGACGCCATCATGGCCAGGGGAGAGAAGAAGGTAGGGCGATGAGCGAGTTGAGAAGTAGTACTTGCAGTGGAATGCTTTTTTAAAATCTAAAGTATTGATGTGATAGGTGTGAATAGGGGATGAATGGGAAGTTTTCGACTGTGAGACTGTAAAATGTTCAAGTTGTATTGAAAAGAGTGGACTGGGATGAAAATTTCTCCTTTGCCAATATATAGCAATAGAACTAAATGCTGGTTTTGGTTGATGTACTTCTCTGTATTCAATCTGAACTGAGTTTGTGGAATATGTAAGGTGGTTGATAGGTGGATTCTCCAGTGTGGTTTTCTCCTTCCTTCCTATCAAATATCTATCCTTCTTTTCTTTATATGTTACTCTTTAGTAACACCTCTTGTCTTTGACACTTATGTAGTCTGTTTGTGTTGCATCTGCAGTAAAAACTCTTACTAAAACAAAACTAATACATGCAAGGCCAAGAGCCGCGGTGAGAGTAAATACTATATAGATAGACTTTTTATATATTTCTAACACTTTCTTTGTTTTGTCATAGACAAATGAGCTGAAGGAGATGATGGACTCTCAGGGAGAAATTCATTTCTAATACTTTTGTTGTTTTGTTGTTTTAGACAAACGAACTGAAGGAGAAGATGGACTCTCTAGGGGAGAACAGTCTCCGCACCTTCACCATGGACGCGCCCGACAGCGTGTACCAGTTTGAGGGAGAGGACTACCGAGAGAAGCACAAGCTGGGCACCATCGGAGCCTGGATCGAGCCGCCCAAGCGTGAGCGTAAAGCCAACTACGCCGTGGACGCCTACTTCAGGGAGGCACTGCGTGTCAGCGAGCCCAAGGCCCCCAAGGTGAGTGTCTCGTTGCACTTTGGGGATGAGTGCTTTCTGTTTTGATTGAATTCAGGAATTTTTTCATAATACTTTTAAGAGGGGGGGGTAGTTCCAAATGTTGTAAGTGCATAGTTTGCTATGATTTTAGTGTAAAAGTTGGCAGCCTTGTGGTTGTCCTTGATGTTCCTGGTGAAGACAAAATTTGAGTCAATGTGCATGTTTTACCTAATTAAGCTGCAAGCACAGTAAAACTCTACTAAACGTAAATCTTTTTGGTGCTTCTGTTCCTCATTGAGTAATGCCAATGAAATGTCTCCCTCTTATCCCATTTCCTTACAGGCACCCCGACCCCCCAAACAGCCCAGCATCCAGGACTTCCAGTTCTTCCCCCCTCGCCTCTTTGAGCTGCTGGACAAGGAGATCTACTTTTTCCGCAAGACCATCGGCTACAAAGTGCCCAAGAACCCCGAGTTTGGAGCCGACGCCGACCGGATACGCAAGGAGGAGCAGGGCAAGATTGACGGATCCTCTCAGCTGGATGAGGATGAACTGACGGAGAAGGATTCGCTGCTGAAAGAAGTAAGGAGGACTGAGGAGTTATATAGGTCACCCACGTCTGGGGATGAGGAGTTGTCTTTAGTTTTTAAAATGCACTGTTTGTGGTTGCAGGTACAGTGGAAATTTCCCAAGATGGTTACCTTACTGCTAAGAAGAAAAGTTGTAGTCTTAGACATGTTTGTCCTTTTAGGCAGTGTCATTATATTAAAATAAACACCCTGAGAGGGCCTTTACAAGGGCTCACATAATTTTTGTTAATATTTTTTAGAACTTCCATCGAACCACGTACAATTGACCCCTTGTGTAAATAATGTGAAAAGACACATTGTTTGTATGTAAAACTCGCTGTGAAATTTGTACGTAATGGAAAGATTCCCATGTTCCCCCCTGATTTCACTGTGCATGTGCAGGATTGTGTTTATGGGACTAGAAAATAACGGCAGTAGAGTGTGACTGTATTCTTCCGCGGAAGCTGAGAATGTTTCTGAGTGTTCTCAGAGGGTCTGCTGGGGTAATAATAGTTGTAAAGCGCATAGAGCAAGCTCTTGAGCATGGATATGCGCTATATAAATGCAATTATTATTATTATTATTACTATCTATGTCCTTTCTCTTCTCTCAGGGTTTCACCAACTGGAGCAAGCGTGACTTCCAGCAGTTCATCAAGGCCAACGAGAAGTTTGGCCGCGACGACATCGAAAGCATCGCCAGAGAAGTGGAGGGAAAGACACCCGAGGAGGTAATTGTGTTTTCTGTCTGTGTGTTGTGTCTATCTTAAATCCCCTGAAATAAGGTATCAAAGCAATGATTGACAAAATAATATTGACCCCCCCAAACAAAATTGTCCTGTTTTTGTTTAGCAATTTTTGAAAATTCATTTATTATTTAAACATGCATGTGATTTTCTCACTTCATTTAGCAGAACAGGCATTTGCTGTCTTGTTTAAGATGAACATAAATAAATGAATTTTCATATTGATCCACTCTTTCTTTTATGGCAGTGAGTCTCTCACTGTGTTTAGATTATTCGTATTCTTACTATGGAAGATGTAGATGATATTTGTTTTTGATTTTCCCAGTATGGAAAGTCGGACATACTGGAATTTTAGCTCTATTGAAATAAGAATGTTTTGTAGATTTTTCTTTGCTAGCCCCACTGATGTTGAAGAGCATACTAAGGTCCTGTTGCAATCACATAGCTTGTTGGTTGCTGTCCAGTGCTATGGTGGGGTTTGCTCCTTCTTTCCTGTCTAACATCAGTTATCCATATCTCTCCACCTTTTCTTTTTCTGATACTCGCTAGTCACACTTCAATACTTTAAGATCTAAATGGGATGCAAGTGCTTAAATTTTTTTACTAAAATTTTACAGCAAAACAGTTTTGGTGTTCTGTTTTTTTCTCTTTTTCTGTTTGCCTTTACCCACGCATGTTGTTTTTTACAGCACTTATGTTGTTATAGATCCAGTTGTAATACTCATAGTTTGCGTTGTTTATTTGTGTGTGCCCCAGGTGAACCAGTACAGCAGCGTGTTCTGGGAGCGCTGTAACGAGCTGCAGGACATTGAGCGCATCATGGCACAGATTGAGAGGGGAGAGGCTCGCATCCAGAGGCGCATCAGCATCAAGAAAGCCCTCGACGCAAAGGTGAGAGGCGGCAGCATGCATCTTTTCGATTTGCTCCTTCTTACCTGTCTTATTTCTAGCATCCTTATCTCTCCTCCACCTTTTTTTATGTTACTCTCTAATAATTCCTTAAGTCTGCGGCACTTATATGACACCTATTTCACTTTTGTGTTGTGAGTACTGTAAATGTTGCTGAAACACAAAGGTGAGAAGCAGTGTCCTGTCGGTTTGCTTTGGTGTGAGCCGAAATGTGGTCAGGAGAGGGGGTAGCTTTGAGATGAAGGTGTCTTGTCTTTTTATTAATGTTGCACTAGATAACACCTTGCTTTTTTTGCCGCAACTCTACGAGTATATTGTTGTCAGCGTGCTTCTCTCTATTTGAAACAAAAAACACAACCCCCCCCTCCCCCCCCAATCCACTTGAGGGGACCTTATAGTGTTGATAGGATTGTAGAATCTGTACATGGTGGAGTTGTGACCCCCCCGCCGCCGCCGCCTTTTTTTTTGTTGCTATTTGTTATTGGTTGTAAGTTGTATCCTACTGATACCATGGAAAAACCCCATTTCACTGCTTCTTTGTTTCCAATGTCCCCGCTCCAATTGTCTTTATTTTTGTGAGTGGTTGGAGGCCGCTACTGATTAGGTCCCTTTTTATTTTTTCAAAATATTTGTTTTCTTTTGTTTTTTTGTTTCTGCCTAATTTGCTTTTTTTCCTTTCACCAGGTGACCTTTATTTTTGCATAGATGTACTTTTCTCTACTCCAAACAATTGACGCGCGCTCAAATGACCTTAGCAGTTGCGAGCGCCGTAAAACCTTATACTACTATATATATATAAACAATTGACAAACGTTGCTTTTTCTGTTGTGCTTGTACCAGATGTCGCGGTACCGAGCCCCGTTCCACCAGCTGCGCATCCAGTACGGCACGAACAAGGGGAAGAACTACACGGAGGAGGAGGACCGCTTCCTGGTGTGCATGCTGCACAAGCTGGGCTTCGACAAGGAGAACGTCTACGATGAGCTCCGCCAGGCCGTTCGTCAGGCACCGCAGTTTCGCTTCGACTGGTTCATCAAGTCTAGGACTGCCATGGTATGTCTTGTGTTGTGGCCTTTCTCTCACATTTAAAAAAAAATTGGGAGTACGGTGGTGTCCCATGTAACAGTAACCTCCTCTCTTGGGAAGAAGTCCTTGTTTGCTGCTAGGCGAATGTTTTTATTTTAAGATTGTGCTTACCGAAACTCAGAAAAAGAAAAGCAGACTTCTTGGGTTGTGTCTTGTTCAGGGTTCAGTCACCTTATGAAATGTCACCATTTTTTATTTAACCCTATCGCACTTAGCAGGCTTGGCCAGCTGTGGTCCCCCCCCCATTCTTAAGACAAGGGCAATAACTCCACGAAAATTGAAGGGGTACCTTACTAAAATATTGTATAAAATCACAAACACAACCAAAAATGATGAAAATAGTATTTTCTGAAAGGAAAATGAATGAGCTAAATTACTAGTACAAAATGATAAGTGGAATAGAAGAGTATGAAATGATATGAGAGGTCTTTCTGAGATGCGTGTCTTGGATTCCGAGTCTAGATCTATATCTAGATCT